AACGTATCCAAATTTTTGAACAAACATTTCGGATGCATCCAAATATTTTTTTTCCAATGTCACTCAGAGTAAATGTATGTTGTTAAACTTTACAATAAAACAAAAAAAACCAGAGTGGAGTTCCCTCCTCAATTTATACCACACGCTTTAGGTTTGGTAGGAATTTTAGGGGGACCCCAACGCCAAAAAGAACAAAAAAGCACCTTGTCCCCATGTCGATGATTACAAGGTCCTCTTTCACACATCCCTGGCCCGGTGGTTGTGGGGGTCTGCGGGTAGGGGGGCTTATCTGAATCTAGGTGCCCCTTCTTATAAAGAAAAACAACACAGGTTTTTGACAAGTCTTTTATTAAAAAAAATGTTCATCAATGTAATCCAAATGCCAATCACGTCGTCCAGCTTTGTAGATTATTATTATTAGGGTTGCAGAGATACCAAGTACAGTACTCGGTACAAGTACAAGTACATGTACCGATACTTTTGAGCTCCAAGACTACACTAGAGAAAAATTTAAAAATTAGGAGGCAGCTGTCATGTGTAAGGAGCACACGGAGCTCCCGGGATTTGTACATCTCTGTTTTAATGTATGATTTTGTTTTTATAAATATAAATAAAGGGATGCACAGATACCGGTTTTGCGAGTACGAGTACTGGTACTTGCCGAGTACTTACAAGTACGAGTACTGATACATTTTTGTTTATTGTCATGTGACAGTTTTTCTAAAACAATACAGACTAATGTTTTCAGGACAGTGGTGGAGCGCCAGAGCCAGGTCCCAGCTGCAACCGCTGCAACCCTGGTAGTTCTCATGAAAATGCTAAGTATCGGCACTGGTACTCGAAAAGTATCTGTGCATCCCTAATATTATTATTACATAGTATTTATATAGCGCCAACAATTTGCGCAGCACTTTACAATATAAGGAAGATGTTACAATCACAATACAATTCAAGACAAGATGGTAAGGAGGGCCCTGCCCCTGAGGGCTTACAATCTAAAAGAAGAGGGGGAAATGATACATGAGGAGGTAGCTGTGTGGGGATGAATTATTTGAGATTGTGATGGTGCAGTGGTTAGGTTGAGGTGGGATAGGCTTCCCTGAAGAGTCTTTAGGGAACGCCTAAAGGGAGTCAAGGTGGGAGATAGATGGAAAGGTTGGGGTAAAGAGTTCCAGAGGATGGGAGAGACTCTAGAGAAGTCCTGGAAGCGAGTATGGGAGGAGTGGACAAGGGAGCTGGAAAGCAGGAGGTCTAGGGAAGAGCAGAGTGGACGGTTAGGGTGATATTTTGAGACAAGGTCTGAGATATATCCGGGTTCAGAATTGTGGATGGCTGTTAATATTTTGAATGTTATCCTCTGGGCGAGTGGAAGCCAGTGTAGGGATTGACAGAGGGGGGTTGCAGACACTGAGCGGTTGGTCAAGTGAATGAGTCTAGCAGCTGCATTCATGATAGACTGAAGGGGGGGTATCCTGTGTAGTGGAAGGCCAATGAGGAGGGAGTTACAATAGTCAAGACGAGAGATAACAAGGGAGTGCGGTGTCATTGGTGAGGAAGGGGCGTATTTTTGAGATGTTACGAAGGTGAAGGTGGCAGGATTTGGATAGCGATTGGATGTGGGGAAGAAAGGTGAGGTCCGAGTCAAGGATGACACCTAGGACCTTGGCATGAGGTGAGGGCTGGATAGTTGTGTTATCAATCTCAACTGAAATGTTGGGGGAAGGTGCACGGGGTGGAGGAAATATCATGAGCTCAGTTTTTGAAAGGTTGAGTTTTAAGAAATGTTGTGACATCCAGACGGAAATGTCAGTTAGTAGATTAGTGACACGCAAGGACACTGAGGGGGAGAGTTGTGGAGTGGAAAGATAAATTTGAGTGTCATCGGCATAGAGATGGTATTGGAAGCCATGTGAGGTTATTAGTTGACCAAGGGAGGAGGTGTAGATAGAGAAGAGAAGGGGTCCAAGGACAGAGCCTTGGGGGACCCCTACAGAAAGAGGAAGAGGAGGGGAGGAGTTAGAATTGTAGGTGACACTAAAGGAGTGCATAGCTAGGTAGGACGAGAACCACGAGAGAACAGAGTCTTGTAGGCCAAGCGAGTGGAGTTTTTTGAGGAGCAGCGGGTGGTCAACAAGGGTCAAAAGCAGCAGAGAGGTCTAATAGCAAGAGTAAGGAATAGTGGCCGTTGTTTTTAGCTGATATTAGGTAATTGGTGAGTTTTAGGATGGCGGTTTCAGTGGAGTGTATGGGGCGAAAGCCGGACTGAAACTGGTCCAAAAGGTTGTTATTAGCGAGCAGGTTAACATTTAGGAGCAGGGCCGTCATAATGTAAACATTTCATGTCATTTGGCTGCAACGGAAATTAATTCGTAATTATCCACCGCATCCGAAATTAACGAAAAATTCGGATTCGTCCAAATCTGAATGCCGAAACGAATTGACTTTTGGACCCGAATCCTGAAAAAGGAAATAAGGAAAAATCCAAAAAATGAACCAAAACTTTGTTGCCAGCGCACGTCTAATAGGAATATGTTATTTGAAACTACAGTTTGTGTTTAGGCCTTCTTCAGACCTATGTGTTACACAGTAACACAAGGCACCTTGTGCTTTGCAATCCTTTGCCATTCAGTTAGACTGGCACCACAATGCACAACTACAGTTGGTACCAATGGATTCACACTGCAGTGCACCACAACACATATGCCCAGCATTGCCGGATGAAGGGACCCTGTGTGCTTCTGAAATGTCCCTTGTTCTTTGAAGGAATAATGGTGTGCTGGTAACTCATTCTCCATCTGCATTGTGGTGTGTTGTGCTGATCTCCTGTAGTCCGCAGTCATCTTTGCAGAAACTTCCAGAGGTCTTCTTGTGCCAGGAGCTGATTTCTGGTACATTCGGGGATTACAGGAGGATAGAGATCAACAGCACTGTCACTAAATGCCGGGTGAGGGTCCTGCATCATACTTATGTGTAGGGGAATCCCATAGACTTCTATGGCCAAGAATCAGAATCAGATCAGTCTCCTGGCCCCATAATTGTCTATGGGGAGCTATTGCACAACCGCAGGCATCGGGAAGCCACCCTCGCTGGGTATATTTTTTAAACCCCTGTAAATACCTTTTTCCTTGAAGGCTTCCTTCTCGTCTAATTATGTCACTGCAGCTTCTTCTCCTTCCAGGGACAGGTGGAGGTGGGCATTCTTCCAGGACTGAGCGGCGCACATGTAATGATGAATGAGCGCCATTCTGTCCTGGACTACTGAGCCCAGCCTTTGTGATAACACACTCCCAGAAAATGACCAGAATGATGGTGTGCCTTCTGCCCTGAAGGGGAACGCTGGCACTTGACTGAGGAGGACAGTGGCGGGGCATGGAGAGGGTAAGTGAAGATTGGCACAAATTTGTTATACAAGACAGGGGACCAAACAAAGATATTTCTGGAGTTACACTTTATAATCAGAAAAAAAGTCAGGCTTCTTAGCCTATTGTAGTGACAGGGTCTCTTTAATGATTGCAAGCCCCAGTGAGGGACATTCACACCAGAAACGGCGCACTTGTCATGCGTTACCGCTGGTTTGTTTACATGCATTTATGTGTGTATTTTCAGTGCGTTCTTTCTTAGTGTTTCTGCTGCTTTTTTTCTACACTATTATATACTGTATATATTTGTGCTGCAATGTTCTCCCAGATGTCAACCTTTCTTCTGTTCTCATATTTATTCCAATGGTCATAGAGCTCTGGCTTGCGTGGACCATGCTAATAAAGGATTCTACATCCACCTATCCCTTGGCTGCCATTATAATGCTTAATTACGTTCTGCATTGCTCTGAACACACCACATGAATACCCAACAAATCGGAAAGGACTGGAAGTGGAAGCAAACGTTGTTTTTCCAGAGTAGCGTTTATGTGCGTTACGTTTACACATGTTGACATGCACTTGCGTTGCGATAAAATGCAGCATGCTGTACTTTTTTCACTGCATCTCAAAGCCATGATGTGAACTATGCTCACTAGCCAACATGGAGTTTGGATTGTCTATGTAATAGGAATAAATGAGAAATGGGGAGTCTGTCTTAAAGTCCCCCGTCCCTCATTGGATTGTGACAGCTTTTAGGTTCTTGCTCCCCTTTTCTGCCATCTGTTACACCTGGGGGTTGGTCAGCTGACCGCCCAGAACTTTCTGGATGGGTCAGTGAAGGGGGGTTCCAGGCTGCCAGGTCAACATTCAGCAAAGATCACCTGCCGTGAGTCACCCACCCTCCAGCCTGTCGTGGCCATTATTACGCTGCTTTATCACCTTTAATTTTTTTAAAGGGGGACAGTTGTGGTTAATCAGCTAATCACAAGGGGGGTAGTGGCTAAGCCCTTACTGACATTTTTTCATTTTGGTGTCACCCCCTCTGACAAGCCAGACACTCGGTCATGGACCAAGAGCCTGACAGCTGCGAGCGAGTGGAGGGCACCCGGCTGAAGACCTTATCCTGCTGGATGAACGTCCCCTCCTCTTTTTGCCGGTGCCCATCACCAAGAAGGCTGCCAGCAGTGAAGTGCATGTGACATCATTACGTGTGTGCGTAATGATGTCACATGTATATGTAATGACATGCGCACCGGGTGACACCTGGCCTGGCGATGCTGCTGCAGTTAATGACATTTTAATGATGTTTCAGCTCAAGTTGTGGTGACTGGGCTGTTTTTTTTAACTTATATTTCGATATCTAATTTATTAAGATCAGTAATTAAAGTCCATGGCCAATTTTTATCCACTATTTATTGTATTTATTTACTGTATGTTTTTATATTTGCTGCCATGCTGTCTGCGATTTCATGCAATCAAAAACCAATCCCACTGCATCTGGTGTGAATGGGTCCTACAGCAACAACCAGCACAAGACCAGTAGCAAAGGGCCAGTCACACATGTGAGAGGAGCCAGCTCAGCGCAGACTACACTTCCTAGGATACAACGTGGGCCGGCGTCGCATGCGCAGTGTATCTCGCCACATGCATAAGCGTGGCGGCTCGGCAGTGCGCATGCTCAGTCACACGTGTTTCCCTGCTACTGATTAAAGCGGTGCTGCTGGAGGCCCGGGTCTTAGGTGCTGTGCGAGTCGTAGGACATGTTCTCTTTCTCTCTCCGGCGCCTGGCTCAGGTGAGTCGTGTCTGGCAGGTCGCAGCAGTGTGAGTGATGCTGGTCGAGGCAGGCTTCTGGCTTGGTCGATCATTAACTAATTGCTGGGACATCCGAGCAGCCCAGCTGTCAGGGGAAGCCTGTCACCTCGGGACAGGACAGTGCTCCTCTAGACATGGCGGATGGAAATTGTTATCAATGGGTGCAGGCGGCTGCATTGTATCTCTGCCCCCTCATCCCGGACTGGCTGATATAAGTGTTATTAGGATTATGCACGGTGTGATCAGAGTCTCGTGCTGTGCATTGACTGTAATCCGAGTCCTGTGATGTGCATTGACTGATGCATTGCTATGAAGTTTGCTGTGCTGATGAGAGTTTGCACATGTATGTTGATCATGGCCCTCCAGTATTATCTGCGAGTCTGCAGGAATTGTTGGAATCTTATCATGTCTCTTCCATGCAGCCCTCATTAAAGTGTACCTGTCTGTCTGATCACACATGCCTAACGGCTAACCTACACATAAGAGAATGCTTAAAGTTATAATGTTACCAATGTCTACACCTCATCATTTCCCTTTTATACTAAACAAACGTACATGGGTATGGGATCTGTTTTCTAGCCAAACTAGCAAAGGTACGCTTGTGTTTTTTTTCTTTACAGCATGAATACTGAATTTTCTTAATAATTTGGTGTGAATGTTTAAAGATAACCATATTTGTTTAAATAACAAACACACCTTTTTAGAAATGTTTAATGACAATCTACAAACGCACACTTCTAGATAATTGCCGGCTTTGTATTCTTTGCATAACTTATTTCTTTTTTCTTTCCCAGTCTTCTCCCAGTGGCCAAGTTTACTAAGGGCAAATTAATAGCTCTCCCTTTATTGCCTGGATAGGACAGTGATAGCGAATGTTTTTGAGCCCCGTGCCCAAACTGCAACGTAAAATGTATTTATCTCAAAGTGCCCGCACTGAAAATAAGTTTGATATTGTGTTAGTTTGGGCGCTGGGGTTTAAAAAAATGTTCAGCATCACTGACTTAGGCAGGATAGTGAAACGCACAAAATCAAAAATGTATACACTCAATAAAACACACGCATAACGAAACGCACACATCAAAAAAAACACACATCACACACTTAACTTAAAACATATCATGCATGCATTAAATCACACACAACACCTCTATTTCATATAGATCACACACATAGGGTCTTGGCATTCAGAAAATATATAATGTTGGGGGGTTTTACGTCATTTTCAGGCCTAAAATGTGGAATATAACATGGGTGCAAAAAATGAAAAAAGGGCCTCAGTCATGAAGGGGTTAAACACCCACATCGCATTAAAACACACATCAAAACACACCCACATTAAAACGCGCGCACACACACACCTTTATTAAAAACACACACTCGTTAAGCAGCGGCACCACGAGAGCAATCTGTATGGTCTGCATCAGAAACAGATTCAGATCACACTGATCCTCCACTGGACCACCATGAGATGGTTTTAATATATTAAATAGGCTCTGGGCACCTGCCAGGTTTATGCACTTGCGGTCTGCCCGTTTAAAAAAATAAACGGACGGCACTGCAGCATTGGTGGGTTGCCGTCTCCAGACTACATTTTTTTTTCTGCTCGCGCGCGCCCGGGCAGAGAAGACCCGACCAATGCAAACACCCGTTTTAGTAAAAGCTTTTAAAGCGTCGCCTATGGCCAATTTTGGGTGTTATCGTTTTTGAGGTTTCGTGCGCGCACGCAGTTTTAAGGCTTGACATGTTTGGTGTCTTTTTACCCGACGTGACCCCGTCTTTTATATTTTACCAAAAAATTGGGTAATAATGAATGTTTTATCATTTAATATAGGGGAAACTTTTTTTTTAATTTCGGTACTTTTTCCTTTACTATAGTAAAAAATAAAACCCCCAGTGGTGATTAAATACCACCAAAAGAAAGCTCTATCTGTCCCTAAAAAATGGTATAAAATGAATTTCAGTACAGCGCTGCATGATGGAATAAATGTCAGTCAAAGTACCGCAACGCTGAATTCTGAAAAATGGCCTGGATGGGAAGGGGGTTTAACACAGCGGATGTCAACTGGTTAAAGATGGCCATCGCTATTTGTGGTAGCCATCTTTAAAAACTTAATGTGACTTGGAGACCTGTGGAGCACCCCAGGTGAGAACCTGGAGTGTGTAGGAACCATAGGGGCTTCTGCATGCCCTCTATGACACGTGTGCCATAGGTTCGCCATCACTGGACTAGGACATGTGGCTATGCACATCATCTTGTGAGGAAAATGCCTTTCGCTGAGATCTCGTGAGATTAGAGATGAGATTTCCCAGCAATGCTCTGCTGATGACAAGGAAATCCCAGTGTGCATTACTTTGGCAATCAAGTCTTTTTGCCCTTGCACTTGCAGAGCATTCACTTCCTGCTTTGAAAGTATTTCACAACCGCAGCATTTTACACCTGACGTGTCTGTTCTTAATCATCATACATAAAAGGATGTATTGGAAGAATATAATTTTTGAGCGTAAAGGTCCTCTTTTTTTAATATAGTGTATAGAGTTCAGCAAGGAACAGTGGCAGGCCATGGGGGATAGTGCAGGCTCAGTAGCGGCATAGGGAAGGGGGTGCAAGCACAGAGAAGGGCAGTGGGAGCCTGCGGAGAAGGCCAGTGACCCATGGTGCTGTGGCAGCCTATGGTATAGATCGGTGGTGGCCCGTGGGCAAGGGCAGTGGTGGTCCGTAGTGTAAGGCACTGGTAGCCTGTGCAGAACGCTTGTATGTAAACAGCCATCGCTGGCTGTTTTACACCCACCCACTGCCTGCTGTCAATCAGCAGAGGAGGAACCTGAAGGAGAAAGTTCGCCTTCAGGTCCTCAGGCAGTGGGTGTGTGCAATAGCCAGCCTCCTGTTGGCTACTGCAATTTAAAAGAGCCAATAGCAGGCTGGCTATTGCTGCTGGATTGGAGACCGATCACAGCCGACAGCAGGAGCGCAGCATGGGGGGAGTAGGTGGGGTGAAGTAAACTCTGACTGTCAGCGGCTTCTCCTTACAGGCTGTAATTAGCTATCTGCCCCCTCTGACAAAGATCGCGGCAGCTGATTACAGCCTGTAAGGAGAAACCACTGACGGTCTGCAGCAGGAGCACGGGCACAGTATTGCAGCAGCTGAAATAGATGTACGGTGAATGGGCTGACAAATGCCCAGGTGCCAGGACACACAATTCCTGGCCACATTGTGATTATGTCATGCCCTGTCCTAGAGAGGGCTGCATGCTTGGGAATCCCTACCTCTCTAGACTGATATCCACCCATCAAGGCATTTTGATATTAATTCTATAACTCCCCTTAAGAGAGGCATTTCATAGGAGAGCAGAGAGACCCAGTGATTACATCACTGAATCTAAAATAAGCCATTAAATGAAAACTGGTTTTATTAAACAATTTTCCATAGGATGTGTTCAGACCAGCCCTGTTGGACTCTGTTGGGCAGCATTGTCTAGTGAGGTCCCATCACAAAGACGAGGCAAGAAGTTCCTCTTCTCTCCAGCATGCAAATCCCATGTTCATTAAGTGTGGTGTGGGAGAGGGGGGGGAACCAGGAAGGTCAAAATATACAAATAGAAGCAGACTAAACCTCAGCTTTAAATCTTTTGGTTCTACTTCAGCGCAGTGTGGCCCTATAAACGTGCTGGCAGTCCACTTGTGTTTATTTAGCGGACTGTCCACTTTGTACTGGAAATAACTACAGCCACCGTCTCGCATGCCACTACATTCACTGATCTCTCCTCTGCGGAAACAACCGAGAAGTGATGAGAATTTCATCACTTCTGGTTTCAGTGCTGTCATTCCCTCAGCCGTTAGGGCTGGGGATGAAGCTAATCCAATAGGATCTGTTTCATTTGGAAAGCAAAGATGAAAGTAGGGGTCTAATAGACTCCTGATGTCTCCTTAAACACAACCTGTCACCTCCAATATGCTATCACATGGGAGGACTTAACATTACAAAATTAATCAATATTTAAAAAAAAAACCCAAAACATTTTTGAAAGCCTCCCCACCCCCATGTACACGCACATACTAAGGGCTCATTCACACTGGAATCGGCCGGCACTTACAGCACCATGCTGCGTGCTGGACCGTATCTGGCAGCTCCCGGGAAGGACAGGTGATTTAGTACACAGCCCACGTCCTTCTCTATGGGACTACGTGCCCATACGCACCCCCTACGCTTGCTTCTAGTGCAGGTCCGAACGGGCGTGTGTTTCCTGGCTCGGGCACAGACGGGATCTGTCCTGTCAGCGTACGAGTCTGGACACCCGCAAGGATGTGCAAGGCGTGTGAACGTAGGGGGGGGGGAGTACGGCCGCGTACTACCATAGAGAAGGATGGGGGCTGCGTACTAATCGCACGCAGCATCTGTCCTTCCCAGGAGCTGCCCCGATACGGCCCTGCACGGAGCTGTACGTGCTTGCCGATTCCAATGTGAATGAGCCTTGACATAAAACCTGTGAGTTGAGTACTCAAATAGGTATCGCCGCACACACTTGAGTGACCGCAATAATTCTTGGGCCATTATTCACGGTTACTCTAAACTGATGACCAGTAAAGGCTTTTAAAGCGTCACCTATGGATCATTTTGGGCTACTAAAGCTTTTCATGGATGCACGCAACTTTGAGGCTTGACATGTTTGGTATCTATTTACTTGGCACAGCCTCATCTTTTATATTTGATTGTATATTATCTTGTGTTTAGGTGGACTGACATTTTAACCCCATCGTGACTGACGACGTACAGTGTACGTCGCCAGCATCGGGGCTGTTTAAACAGACTCCCGGCGACTTTTGCCGCCGGGAGTCTGTTTAAACTTGTAGAGCCGACTGTCGGCTTTACAACAGAAGCGATCCTGGCGCCTTACCTGTCGCCAGATCGCTTCTGCGTCCCGAAGAAGGGGCCGCCCCCCCCGCCGGACACCCCCGCCGTGCTTCCCGGGCTCCGTTGCCCC